AATTCCAGCTCAGTCCAGCCCACTGGGCCCTAGACAATTACTCTGAAGTCGTTTCCTGTAATCACATGGCCTAGGTACCAGAGACCATAGCTCAGCTGTAACCCAGAGTTATAACTCTTTGTCAAGCAGCTAGCCAGACCTTACCCACTCAGATCCACTGAACCTGGGTCTCTTTAAGGAGATGGCCACTAAGCAGGTCTTCTGGGGGGGATGGGCTTCAGGAGTCCCACAGTACTGGGAGATAGATAGACCATGAGGTCAAAACTCTCAGGAAATCCCACTTCAATTTTGCCTACACATATTTTGTGTAGACAAAAATATGGCACCAGCCAGGCCATATAACTCCTTTCTGTGTGTCACATCCAAGCAAGTGCCAAGACTTGAGGGACTATGGAGACTCCAACAGAAGGACACTCACTTTAGCATCTTTAGACCCTCTGTGTCCCCAGCACCTGTTGGAGTTCAGTCTTAATTGGATATTTGTGGAAGTAGCCACCTAGTTCACCCAATGCTGAACAAATTTCCCTTGGGGTCCCTCCACCTCACTACTGTTGACACTTGATCACTGTCATAATAGGCTTGTCAGGGCCCATAAAGATGTTTCCCCTTCATTCTTGACTCAAAGTCAAAGAGTTCAAACCTGTCCTTAGTCTTCCAAGGTTAAAGACAAGAGACTTAAAGATTGAAGGTTTGGCTACTATAAGATGTTTTGGTCTTGGATGTCTTATCTAAATAACAACAGACTTGGCCTGAGGTGTGTTTACTCTTGATCCTCACAGCCCAATAACAGGTGTGGTTACCAAATGCTTAGAGAATTAAGAGGAGAAAGTCTATTTTCTCCTTTTGCATGATAATAAAAGCCTTCTGCCATGTCCCTCTTTTGGTTGGGGTACCTAAGAATGTTGAAGAATAAACTTGGGCGTTCAGTATTCACTAGATTGCCCCCTCCTGACTCTATCCTATGTCTCTGTCTCTTTCTTAGCAGTTTTTACCTGCCGTTTCTCAATCCACAGTCTCCCTCTCAGGGGGGAATTAGACAACTTGGCTGGATCCGTCTAAAGCCCCACAAAGACAGGTTAGATCAGATTGGCCCCACAACGTGGGGTTATGACAAAGGGTGATGACATAGGCTGCCTGTCCTGTCCACTGTAGAATGTTGAACCTAATACCTGGATTTCACACACCAGACACCAGTAGCACCTCCCTCTTTGCTTGTCATGGTAACCAAAAATATCTCCACATATGGCTAGATGTCCCAAGATAGAAAGGTGGAAACAAAATCACTCCACTTGAGAGTCACTGATACAGAGTCATGCTGATCATGTGTTTCAGTGGGACTCCATTTTTCCTTGTGGACATCAGAAAAGTTGAAAGGACTCTTTATAAGTACCCAGGAAGCAAATCAGTGAGATGTTTCCTCAGTACTAGCTTTAATGAGATGTAACTTACCTAATGGAACATTCATCTTTTAATTTCCAAATGTACAAGTTTGTGGTTTGTATACATTCTATCTTCTGCAACTATCACCACTACTTAAACTTTGTGTATTATTATCCCCACTCCCAAAAGGAAAGGCCATACCTAAAGTAGTCCCCTTTCTCCATTGGTTTACCTGGCTAGCTGCTTTATTTAAATCCAGGCTTGGGGAATGTCTCCTTTCACTTAGGGTGGTGTGTTTTCAGGTTCTTCCATGCTATGGTGTCTATCACTACTTTCTTTTTATGACCAATTAATATTGTGTTGTGTGAGCTCAGCACAGTTTGCTTATCAGTCATCAATCAATGAACATTTGGCTTGCTCCTATCCTTTGGCTATTGTTCTTAATTCCATTAACCTTCTTCATACACAAGTTCTATGTATGTCTGTTGTCATTTTTTCTAGGAGTAGCCTGGACCTTGCATTTGCTGTGTTCTTAGCATTTTGAGGAACTATTAAACTATTTACAAAAGGAGCTGAGCTTTTATATCTCCAACATCAGAGTTCAGAGAAACCAAGGCTGTATCCTTGTTGGCACTTGGCATTAACTTTCTGCTTCATTATGGCTGTCTGCATACCTATGCATTGACACCACAATGTGACTTTGATGGGCAGTTTCTATAAAGATTAATGGTGCTGACACTTTGGGGAAATGCCTGTTTGAATTTTGAATTCACTTTAAAACCAAGGAGTGTTTTATTGTTAAATTTCAAGATTCTTTCTGTAGTATTTTTTTTAAAGATTCATTTTATGTGTATGAGTGCTTTCCCCAAATGTGTGTGTGTGTGTGACTCTTGTGCGAGCCTGGTGCCTGCAGAGGTCAGAACGGCATCAGTTGGATCTCCTTAAGCTGTAGTTACAAAGATGATCACAAGCCACCATGTGGGTGCTGGGAACTGAATCCAGGTCCTCTGCAAGAGCAACAAGTGCTCTTAAGTGTTGAGCCATCTCTCCAATCTCTTACCAGATATGTTTTACAAGTATCTCTCCCATTCTGTGAATTCTGTTTGCTTCTGTGAAGGTTTCCTCTGAGACAGGAATCTTTTTTAATGCCTCCACTTGTTCTCTTGTTGCTGTGTTGCTTGTATTTTCAGTGTCACATGTAAGAAATCATCACCAAATTAAGAAACCCCAATGATTTGCATTTATATTTTAAGAGTTTATAGTGCTATAAACTGTAGCACTAACTAACTATAGGACTAGCATTTAGGTGTAGGATCCCTTTTGAATTGATTTGTATGTATTTGTATGTAATGTGAGATTAAGATCCAGCATGGAAAGTTATTTGCTCTAGGATAACTTAAAAAATGTTCTTTCTCAAGCCGGGTGGTGGTGGCGCAGGCCTTTAATCCCAGCACTCGGGAGGCAGAGGCAGGCGGATCTCTGTGAGTTTGAGGCCGGGCTGGACCGACAGCCTCCAAAACAATACAGAGAAACCCTGTCTCGTAAAACCAAAAAAAAATGTTCTTTCTCTACTGAATGTGGTTATTTATTTATTTAATTAATTAAAAAACATGTTTTTTAAATTAGGGGGTGCCTCCATGAATTTATGGGCAACATGTGTACCTGAGGAGGTCAGAAGAGGACATTGGCTCCTTTGGAACTGGAGTTACAGATAGCTGTGAGCCACCCAACCTGGGTGCTAGGAACTGAACCTGGGTTCTCTGGAAGAGTAGTGTGCTCTCATAACTACTGAGGCTTCTCTCCAACCCTAACACTTGCCTTTCTTGTTGAAAATCAATTGACTATAAATGTAGGAGTTTGTGCATGAATTTTCAATTATATTCCTTTGGCCTATATGTCTATCATAATTTGTAATTCGGTCTTTTTAATCACAGAGAGTTGATAGGAAAGCGTCTTTAAGAATTAAAGGGTGAAGAAATGAAGATACCAAACATGGGTGTGTGGTTGAAAAAGATACACAAAAGAATCAGGAAGCATCTTAAAGTTGGTCTTTGTATAAACCCTGTGTCCCACTGCTGGGGAAAATTATTAGATTTCTATGTCAAAGACTAAGATTTGCTGAAGGATTGTGACTGGTCAGTGGCAAACCTGGGAGTTGGACATTTCTTGTGACTCTCTATACAATGCTTTCCTTCTTCCCAGGCCTCAAATGATGACTCTTCAGTCCAGTCCCGGATCCTAGACTAGCTGGGTTTCCTTCATAGAACACTTGGCTTCTGTCTTGGCCCTCACTGCCAGTTCAGCAGAGCGAACAGAGTAGGCGGAGAGTGTCTGCTCTTTCTTGACAGGCTGAGAGAATGGGAACCCAGCTAGGCGAAAGCACTTGGAAAATGTTAAATTGCTATATAGGTGCCGCTAAGTGATAAGATTGCCAACTTGATGCTCTTCAAGGCAGGTTAGTGGTTGTCATTTTCTAGGAGGGTGTAGCTGTGGAGCTGGTCATGGAAATACATTAAGCTGTGGGAGGGGCTGGAATATCTCAGATGGAAAAGGCTTTGAAGGCATGTGCCTTGAGAAGACCCTGAGAAGACAGGAGAGATTGGGCCCTACTAATGCAAAATTGGAGGCATAGGGCTTGGCCAGGAACTGGAATGATACTGATCAGGCAGGGTCTGCTGTGGCTTACCACATTCTTCCTCTGTTCCCTTTGCTCATTTCCCAAATGTGTCTCTTTCCCAGGGCCAGGGGGTATCTCAAGTCACATATAAATGAGAGATTCCTGCTTAAAATCTGGTGGCAGAGGGACTTGCCTCAATTTGTGAGTCCCTGGAGGACAGAAGTAGTCACTTTCCCCTTCCTGTCTCTGCTCTGATTGATGGCTGCTGAAGTCCCCAGGACATGCCTGTTTGGAAGTTGAAGCTTGGTATGAGTCAATAAAGCCAGAGCTCTGGTCCCTGAGTGTCTGATCTGTCAGTCTTGCTGTATCTCTACCCACTCGTATGTTCCTTTGGCTCTAAACTGAATGTCTACACCATCCATGGATCCTGATGCTTATGCTTTTTTTTGTTGTTGTTTTTAAAAAATCTGCACTTCCTGCTTAACATCATGCTTTTCCTTAGCAGCAAGAGCTGCAGGCTGCACTTCTGTGAGTAACCAGTTTCTTATGCATGCTGCATGGCATGTGTATTGGGATCCAGAGCTTGGGCCTCCTGATAGATAGTAATCTCCTGTTCACTGGAGGATCAGTAGCCAGGGTCATTTTGAGACACTGAGGAAGCTGTTGTGGCATATATGTATATATGTATGTATGTATGTATGTATGTATGTATGTATGTATGTATGTATCAGGAAAACCAGTATTGTGAAAGAGCTTATTGTTTACAGATATGGAATAAATTACAGAAAAAGATAGTATGCTCACAGCCTTTCCGAGTCATGCCAACTTCTTTCCTATATCCTTGTAGTCCAGCACCAGATGAAATTGTCTTCCAAGTACTCATAGCCATATCTCTGGCTCCTTCCACAAGTTTTCAAAGCAGAGTGCCTATGGCAGGAAGCTGGCCTCTTTGTGGTTGTGTGCACCTGATCAGTGAGGCTCACTGTGTACTCTCTTTGTTTAGGGCTCTGGCTGACATCCTAAGACAGCAGGGACCAATCCCCATAGCACACTGTGAAAGAGAAACCATCTCGGCCATCGATACCTCTCCCAAAGAGAACACACCAGTCCGATCAACCTCGAAAAACCACTATACCCCTGTGCGCACGGCTAAGCAGACTCCAGGTAAGTGAGAATTGGTCACTTTGAAGTTTTTTGATTCTGTTGTGAGGCTCTAGTGATGTTGCTGCTCTGGCCAGGCAGGCTGTGGAAAGCTGTGCAGTGGTGGTTGTCCTGATAGACAGGACATGCTTTTGTAAGAGTTTGGGAACTGGATTCCTGAGAAGGTTTGGTATGAGAGAGACCAGGTCTGGGACAGATGAGGACTGATGGCCCATCTGTGATTTCTCTAGTGGCTGGTGTAATTCTCTAATGTGAAATGGAGCTTGCAGCAGCCATGGCCAAGTATGTTTTCCTATTAAGTCATTAACCCATGTGGCAGGAAGGTTGGCGCTATCCAGGATGCTGGATGTCTAAGAATATAGACTGCATTCTGATGCAGAAACTGCTCAGCTATTGAAACCTCAAATTACACTTTCTAGCATCAGGAATGATATCTGCATTTTAGGGTGATCCTTTCCTGTGAGATGTAGGTCCCTGGATACAAGATGAAGTGTCCTTCTATATAAATGGGGAATTTGATCTGAGACACCTGAATGTACCAAATCTACAGATGCTCAAACCCCATATATATATATGAATGATCTGGTGTTGGAATAGTGCCACCACAGATTCTCCTGTATACTTTAAAAAATGATCTCCAGATTCCAGAGAATTTATAATATAATACCAACATTATGAGACTTGCTATGCCATGGGCTTTAGGGAATAATGACGAGAAAGTGTATACCTGTGCAGTACAGCCCAGTTTGGGGTAATAGCTTTGATTCATGGTTGGTTGAATCCTGTTGGGTTTAATTGTGTGGCTGGTTGGATCTGTAGTTACATGCATAACCTGTAGATGTAAGGGCTGAATGCGCCTTTTACTTTTTTATTTCATCATCATGGTAACACTAGGAAAGAAACTGGGCAGGATTTATTGTCCTTGTCTAATGGATTAGTGAATGAAACTCAAGAAAATGAAGTAACTTGGACAAGATCAACAGGTGTAAGAATAAAAAAGCAAACCTGTAAATACCAGTATTATATCAGGCTATTGATCTAAATATTATTCAGAGGCTTTTGTAAGTATGTTATTATTTATTCTTTGTAGCAATCTTGGAAATATTTATCTTCCCCTTTATATGAGGAATATAAAGATTAAATATTTTCCAGGATCACATGGTTACAAGAGAGTACTAGAATTCAAACTATAAATTTTTTTACAGAAGTCATGATTGAAGGAATGTAAACTATCTGAACAGACAGCCCCTTACCAGTATGTTGGGAAGGTTATTTCCCTGTGAGACTTGCCTGCTAGGTTAGTGTTGATCTCACTCTCAAGCACACGATTTCTGCTTTGGTACTTGATCTGGAATCTTTCACTCTGTCACTTTATCCAGAGGTCTGAACTAAGCCTGCAATAAGGGTATACACCCACTAGGCAACAGACAGTGGGCGTGCTCAAATACTAATTGTAGCTGAGATCAAATTTATTTCATTTATGCTTTAACTCTCTTGAATTTATCAATTTTTTCTTGCCTTTAAGATGATAGTCTTAAACCTTTAAAAATTTATTCATATTTTATATGAAATCTCTGCATGTATACTTGCATGCCAGGCATCAGATCCTGTTATAGATGGTTGTGAGACACCATGTGGTTGCTAGGAATTGAATACAGACCTCTGGAAGAGCAGCCAGTGTTCTTAACTGCTGAGCCATCTCTCCAATCCTAGCCTTAAATCTTTTGAACATCTGATAAAAGCTGAAGGTATTCTCTGAATATGTATGTATATGAATACAGACATGTATGCACTCAGCCAACAGTTTGGGAAGGACTAAAGGGATCCATAGGCCCCTTGAAAGTTAGGAATCCCTGTTTCACATGTAAAGTTGAGTAAATTTGCTGGACAAAAAACTCCTCAGGTGTGTTCTCACTTTGAATACCCTAGATCCTTGTCATGGAAGCAATAGAGGGAATCTTGACAGAAGCATCTGGAACAGTGGCCACCTACCAGGCTTTATATACACTAGAAACACCTAGGGATATATTAAAATGCTGGGGTGCAAGTGCCATAAAGTATGAGGAGTTTCTAGAGATAAGGTTGACATTAGTGTATTAAGATTCTCTACAGGTGATTCTAACATGCAGTCTGTGTGCAGAGTCACTGGTCTGGTTGGGTCCTTATCTGATAAGAGCGAAGACACAGAATGCTCAAGTCCCCCAGGTTGGGTATGTGTTGGGATCCTGGAGGAAGCCTTAAACATCAAGGGCATTCTGGGATATCATGACTTAATCAATATGGAGGGTGTGGTTTGAGGATAGGGGAGGTTTAAAGTTCCTCCTAATGCAAAGCTTAAAGTCATTTGGGTCTGGGGATTGCCCACTTAGTACCAAATCTAAGTTTAATGTTCTCACGAGCTGTGAGTATTTTTATTTATCTGAGGATTCATCATTTGAACTTAGTCTCTCCCAGTATTGTGTCGTGACTCTGGAATTTCTAGCTACCCAGGCATAAAAGTGCCCCTGACTGTTGAATCTCACCCTTCTGTTCAGTTTTTATTCTGTCTCATTTAAAGACTGATTCAACGGACAGTCTTATTTGCCCTTAAATACCCTTGACTGGTCAGGGAGCTTTCTCATTTCTTGTTTCTTGCATACATCCCTCTAGTGAATTGAGAAGGGAAGGCACTGCTTGCATGACTCAATTCTGTTTCAAGAAATCCCTCCTCGTACTTCTCAAATTACAACTCTCCACTTGGGTTTTTTTTTGAGATGGGAATGCCTGGGAAGCATTCTCAGTGGAAGCAGAAATGTACAACAAGCGGTTTCACAACAAGCTTCTGTAGCTTCTATCAAATGGGATGCTTTTCTAAACCGCTGCTGTCCTTTGCCACACAATGTTGCAATTTGAGCCTCTGTTTAAACAGAACTTTGGGCAAATGTTCAAAGTGGAAATTTACTGTGACATTCCCACTCGTTGGATCAACCACCCACCAATTGTAGTAAAGTGGCAGAGGTCCTCGGGGATATTAAGTAGGCAGGCCTCGGAGCATGCAGTGGCTCTGCCATTCAGTGTGATGTCCTGGGATCAGCTGCCTGGGACTGGCTGGGAATTTGTGAGCCCTGCAGCAGCACCACAGTACCCCTAGGCTGTCATCTGCAGAAAAAGGCATTGGATGTTAATGAAAAAGCTTAGCAATTCAGATTTGAGAAGCAAGAGAAAACATGGGTTTGCTTGGGACACTGCCGAGGTACTGTGTTTCTGATCATGCCCTTCTCAATTTCCTTGTCAACCACAGTGACTACTAGCTCCTGCTGTCTAGATTGTTCTTAGGGTGTAAGTTAAACCAGGTTGAGCACTCAGACAGACCCTGTCCACAGCGAACACTGATTATCAGCCATGAGCAAATTGAGGAAGTGTATGCATGGCTCCTGGAAAGTGAACCATATGCATGAAGGAACCAAGGGCAATATATTGGCATTCTCAGGCCAGGTGGAGGCTGTGGGGCTGTATCTGGCACGATCTGGGTTTGGGAGGTTTAAAGCGCACTCTCATTTGGTTTGAAGACTGGAGTGGAGGTCCTTCCATGACAATGAAATATGATAATCCTTATAGCATAAGTACCATGCATCGAGCACTTACGGTGTACTTGGTACTCTGCTCAGAACTTTATGTTTAACAGAGTGAATCCTGTAATAGTTTTAGGTTACAGGACCTTCCAGTCTCCGAGACTTTTACTGATACTTTTCCAAGAAACATCTTCCCAATGTCAGAGGGACTCCACAATAGGCATTTACTCGGGGCTAGAAAATTAGAGAAGTCTATTTGTCCCCCAGCTCCTCAAATCTAACTGCCTATTCACTGCTGCCACTGACCCAGCAGCGACTCTCTGATGGGAGCTGGTTTGAATTCCAAGTTATGGCCACACCTTGGAATCACAAAAGATTTCTGAGATTATGATGCCTGGCTCCCATTGTGAATAGTCTTATCTGTTTGCTCTGATCCATAACCTAAGCATCAATATACAAGTTTCAAAAATTCCCTACACCATTCACATGGTCAAAATTGGGAACCAAGTTCTAGAGGGAGTCCACCAAATAGGGAGGAAATCTTTGAAGGGTGTGGAGTTCAAGGTCCCGACAAAGCCCTGGGGTAGGCACTGGCTGGCCAGGCTTAGGGGTTGATAGAGAAGTCTCCCCTGGTGGGTATGGCCAGGGGATGTGGAGGATTCAGACACATGGGAGAGTGAGAGCAGGTCAGTGTACATCTGGGAGGAGGATTGTGGTGAGAAAGCAGTACCAGAACCAACAGGAAGAACACACAAAACCACTCTAAGATCACACTCGGTGTTGCAGGCCTACACGTCAGGGCCCTGCAGGCTTGATCTTCATAGAGGGAAGTTACAGAGGCTGAGTGTGTTTACTTGGCCTGGGCTTCTCCTAAAGAGTTTTCTTGGGGGTATCTGTGGATAGTGGGATGTCCTCCCTGGCAATAGACTCCCTGTTACATTCCAGAATTTTGCTCTCCAACTTCTAGGATCAAATGTGGCATCAGCCAGAGGCAGTAAATATTCGCGCTGTCTCTCTACCACTGAGCGTTGGAAAGGAGCAGTCACCTGTCTGCTATCATGGTCACAGCCTTGAGTGGTCAACTAAGGGAGACACAGTGTGTGATGGTTGATGTCAGTTGACAGGGATGTGCTTTGCCATAGCCCTTGAGTTTTGTCCCTGTATCCTCAGGAGACTGACATTAACTCCAACTGACTTGTTGTTTTTCTTCATGGGCTCCACTCATGCTCACCTCCTTGATTGTCTACCCTTCTTGTCTTGTGTGTGTGTGTGTGTGTGTGTGTGTGTGTGTGTGTGTGTGTGTGTGTGTAAGAGAGATTTTCATGTTGGGGCCCAATTTTGTTTTGCTTTGCTTTATTGAGATCATCTTTCACAAGCTTGGCACTCACCGGGTAGGTTAGACTGGCTGGCTAGAGCAAGTCTTATGGATCTACTGGTCCACCTCCATACACA